TTTAGGAACAGCATCATATCCTTTGGCCAAATAGTTAGTTTTTAGTTTTAATTTCTAATAATAGCAGTTTCCTAGTAGTTTAAATTTACAATAATATTTACACGGTAAAAATTATTTTGAAGATATTTCTCCATGGGCTCAATTATAGTTTCTTTTGATTTCAAATTGCTGTTTGATATTGTTACAGTCAAAAGAGCACTAAAATGTCTTGAAATCAGGCTTCGAGAATTCCATTTCACACATAATGAAATTAATGAGTTAATTTTTCTTACTGAAGCGTCTTTGACACAAACTCACTTTGTTTTCCAAAATAAAAATTTATTACAAAATGAGGAATTAAATATGGGTTACGCCCTGAGCTGTACCTGCTGACTTTTACTTGCACTATTTTGAAGTCAAATTATTTGAGGAACTATCATCTCTGAATTCTAAAGATTATCTACGTAGATGACACTTTAGAGCTTTTTGGTGGTCATGAAGACGATTTATCCCAGATTTTAGATTTATCCAACCATCACTTCACTTTTGAAACTGAATTTGACAATACCCTGCACTCTTTTTATATTCTTGCACTGCTTGCTATTAAAATTGCAACATCAGGAAGGAATGATCTGAAGAACGTCAAAATCACACGAAAGGAAGAAGAGGTTGGGATAGGCAAACGATTAGTATTTCAGCGCATTTGAAAGACGCAGGAGGGAGAAATGACATCTGAAGCATCGTGTGAAAGAAAAGCTGTGTAGTGGATTTCTCATTCGGAAAGCCTTTGTAAGATCAGTGTTTGCTCAGGATATCGTGTTATGCCTCGAAAAATAAGAAGAAATGCTTATCACCAAGTATCGGAATTCGATAGAGAAATGATCGTTGCCTATCGAGAATGTGGATTATTGCTCCATGACATCGCCCGTCGCACTGGTCTACATTTAACCACTGTCCATGCGAATATGTAATCAATGGGTTACTAAGGGTCATACTGAACGCCATTCAGGATCTCAACGGCATTCAGAACAACCAGAGAGAACAGTCATATTGTGAGGTCAGCCCTACAAAACAGTACAACCACATCACGGGCCATTAGTAAGGAAATAGGCATGTTTGTAGCACGCTCAGTATCAGCACGGCAACCATTACTTCGACAGCACAGTAATGGTCACCGTGCTGATACTTTACTTCGGCAGTACCACTTTGATAGTGCTGTATATAGGGAGACAGCGATTCTGGTGCGTCGAAATACAAAGCTGGATACAGGAGTGGCACAATGTCCTCTTTTCAGACAAGTTCCGGTTTTGCGTTCAGTATGCTAGTGGCCGTATATGTGTCTGTAGGCTCCAAGGAGATCGCATGTCGCCATCTTGCTTCCGATATCGGCATAGGGGTCCTGCCCATGGTGTGATGGTTTGGCCAGCCATTGTGTACACAACACGCACATCTCTATTTCAGATTGATGCTAGTTTGAACGCAGATCGGTACATTTCTGACATCTTACGTCCAGTGATTAGGCCCTATCTTCGAGGCCCCCAAACGCCACCTTTCAACAAGATAATGCAAGACAACAAGTTGCACGCCGTGTTCTGACCTTTCTCGAAACACAAGGTATTCGATTGCTGGTTTGGCCTGCACGGTCTCCAGATCTGTCACCCATTAAAAACAGCTCGTCATGGGTTGCTGAGAGACTTACACGCTACCCCTTTCCGGCTAATACGGTTGAAGACATTAACTCCGGCTAATACGGTTGATGGAATGAGTTGCCCGTTTCTGACATCCAAGCCGACTTGGAGTCCATGCCTAGCCGGGTAAAAGCCGTTTTAGTTGCCAATGGTGGCAGCTGTTTCTACTAAATTCTCACCCCTGTAAAAGCCCAAACTGCTTACAAATTTAATCATTTTGTCTTTATGGTATACAGTTTACGTACAGTAAATATATTTTTTGTACTCTCTTTCTTTCATGGTGTTGCATTTTTAATTGCCAGCAGTGTATAATCCGCAACGAATCCTGTCACCCGGATAAACAAAAAAATGGCTTATTTTACTCTTATTATTTCTCTGTCTCAAAGTTTGGTCTTCAGAATATTTGCTTTCTAATGAACGTAATTATTTGAAATATATCGCCACTGAAAACTAGTTTCTCCCGTAGTTCTTGATGAAACATTTAAAATAATTTTTCATCTTGCCAGCAAAGAAGGTATTCTACTATTATGAATAAAATCAGTAATCTTGTCGCTCTTCCATTTTAATTTCCGCTTTATATCAGGCCCACCAGCGGCCAAGCGGTGAACACTGGTAGTTTGGTCCGAGGTTCGAATCCCGTGAACGGGCTGGCTGCATGGGTGTTTTAGTGGTTTTCCCGGTTTGTAACGTGTATACGAGCCACTTTCCCTTAGAAAGTCCTCCACGAAGACATCCCTAACTTTAGGCAGATAGCCCTAGTGTGCTTTGCCATAATTAAATACACACACTCCTTTATATGAGTTAAAAATTGTACGGATTCTATAGAAATTAAATTTACAAGACATTTTCTCACCTATTAATAAAATCAATTGTTTAATTCTTTAAAATTCCATTTCTGATATTAATTCTTGGGAAATTTATGGTATATATGATGAGTGTGATGTGAGATACATCGGCCAAACTAAACGATTGTTCAATTTTCGTATCAAGGAATGCGAATATTAAGTCGATTAAAGCAAGTTAACTAATATTTGATATCTAATCATAGTTGCAAATTTAATAGCAATTTTGACTTCAGAATTGCCCAAAAAAGTGCAAACAATGAGTCTTCTAAGATTAACTAAGAAGCTTCTTCAGTTGGCAAACTGGATTTCTTTGACGCTTTTCACATTCATCTTGTTTAGTTAACATTAATCTAGTCTTTCCTAACGCTTTTTAAAAATTTATTAACTTAATTTTCTTTACTATTTCTACGGCCAGATGGCTATGCCTTCTTTTTTGCTTTACGCATTTGGTGTAAATACGGCCATGGCTTCTCCCTTCTTTGCGGATACAAGAAGATCATTCTCAATCTAAGGGTGAATTTTAGAAAGACGTAAAAGTAACCAGATCACTGTGATGTTCTTCGTTGTCAACGATATGGTCATAGAGAGTTGTTGTGAAACTATCCCCTATGATGTCTCGAATGTACCCAAAATCACTTCACCTGTAAATTTCTCAAAGATGAAACAGCGACCTATGTCCATTGCAAGATTACGTATTCCGTACGAATTTCGTATTTTAAGCTGAAAATAAGACGTTTCCAAAGAGAATTAATTTAATTTAATTTAGTAAAGTTTTTACTTAATTTTTGCATAGCTGCTTAAACATGCAATTACCCATCATTTTAAAAAGAATTGCTTTATAAATTTGAATATTCTATTTATATCAAATAAAAATCTTAAAACCGTTGACTGTATCTAGTAAACTGATATATTTCCAACAGTAAAGCAAACCTTATTTAATGTATATATTGTGCACAGCTTAAAATTATTTTATGACCCATATAGCATGCATGTTTTTATGATGATTTCTTATATATAATATATACTAAACCTTTCAAAGCTGTCTTCATTATAATCGCATTTTTGCTTAAATGATAATAAATTTATCTATAACTGATCTTCATTGGAATTTCAATTAATCGAGGTATATATGTGTATTTTAATGAAAATATAATGTTTTAAACTGCGCTATGTTTAAGTGTTGAAGATAAAAAATTGAGAAAGTGCACTATGATTCTGTAATTCTAAATGAATGCGTGGACAAAGAACTAACAACTTTATTAACAGTAATTACTACATTCAGTATTAGTACATGCTCTAGAATATTGCATATCTGAATCCAGATGGCTAAGTGAGAGTTTCTCTCTCTTTACAATACGCGGCGCTGTATTTTAACTTAAAGATTAAACATTATATAACGTAATCCTTCGTAATTAATATGGTGATAAATATAAAATACCTATTCCTGTCATAGAAATGGATTGTTCCTTCTAAATAAATTGTTCATTATCAAAAATGCTGTTTCTTTAAGCACATCATGTAGATTAATTTATTATGTTATTAATAAGAAGAATATCTTCAGCAGAAATCATGCATTATAAAAATGAACTATAGAAATCACCAGGCGTAAAATGCTTTATTTGTAAATATAAGCACTGTATTTACAAATATTATCGTTTTTTCTTTTGTAAATATATCACTATAGATCATTAAATGTAAGAATACTTAATTCGTTTAAAGCAACGTTTTGCATACCATATATATTAATCAGTAACCATTACGTTCTTCCAAAGACTTGTACACAAATACTTGTCTTATTGAAGATACCAAAACCCAACTTTAGGTTAAAGCTGTGTTAAAAAGCTCCAGGAATTTTGATGAGCCATTCTTCATCAAGTAGCTAACATTGTGTAATATTTTCCCGGGCATATGTCACTTAATGCCTCTTAATGTAAAATATAATTAATAAGACAAATGTAACGTGATATGTTGAATAAAAGAATAGAAAGTAAAATATCGAAATATTAAAAAATAAGGATTTTAAATTTTTTGCGAAGATTAATGCCAAAACTGAAAACATGAGCAGAAATTGAAATGATTTGATGAAAATTGTAGGCTTTAGGAAATATATCGCTTTATGTAAGAAGTATTTTTTCTATAATTTTTGTGACACTTAATTTAAATGAATAATAAAGGAATGGCAGATTATGGATTAGAGATGGACCACCTACTAATTTATCGCCTTCATGTTCTTTTGAAATTTACAGAATTTTCTGTTAAACTATTGTCTCTATATAAGGTTAAAATCTGGTTAATTTAATAGTGAAATCGATACTTAAGATAACGTCTTCGTATAAAAAAATTCGTATAGTGGAAGAAGAGTATACACTTAAGATGTAGATTATTCTTTTCAATAAACTGTTATGCATCGTAATTTTAACTGTTTGAAGGGAACTTAATAAATTAGCTTTTTCTGAATTAGTATTTAGTATGCTACTCCTATTTTCAGATCACCAAGGAATCGTCCTGTATCATCTAATAATAAACCAAGACATAATCACAGAAAATTAATATTTACAAATAAAGTGTAAGTATCTGTTTAAATCCAGTTTTAAGTTAAACACAAAATAACATAAAAATTAAAAGCTCTATGACCTGGACCGTACTAAAAAATCTAATCAAAGTCGTTTTAGCTAGAAAGCTAAAATGGATCGATTAGTAACAAATGGGAACAAAGAAGGGAACATACATTAAAAACTAAGATAAATACCAGTGTCTTAAAATATTTTTTAAATGTTTAATGAATGTTCTTCCAAAAAGGGATATACGAGAGGTGATATTAGAATTTTGACGGAAATGTGACTTAAAATCTGGATAATGCTTAAATAACTGAATGAATAATTGAATAATATCTATTGCTCAAAACCACTGCACTACTTTTCTTTCAGCTTCTGTTGGTAATTTGATCTAAAATGATTGGTTAATTAATAAACCAAAATCATTTCTAAGTTACTCAATTTTAATCAAATGCACTAGAAGCATTTTATTTAATTATCGTACCCTTTCCTGATCATATACAACAAAAAATAAAATCATCAGGCTGCTAGCAATGAGGAATTTTAAATGAAAGTTATCAAAGAAAAATTTATTCGAACTAAATGTAATCCTTCTTACATATATTATTTGTACACTATCTGCTATACCGTTAACTGAAATTTTGATTTTGTTCTAGAATGTTTTCCATTCGAAAGCCACATAATTTTAGTTTTAGTAGCTTATATTAAAATATACGAGATTATGAGACTTAGGAAATCTACTTTTCATTTTAGTGTATTTTATTAAAATTGTGCGTTTTAGAAACGCATCATATATTTATATTTCGTATACCCTTTAGTTCATAGAATATGAAATAGTAATGAAGAAATGAAATCACTACCTCTGAAGTAAAAAGGATATTGTTTAAGAAACTGAATAAAAAAAAAACCATGCATTAAACGAGATATTTGTTTTATTCGACATCTACTTCAAAGACTTAACTCTAAATTTTTATAAGATTTAAACTTATTGCTGATTTATATAAAGTTTCGTATCATTTTTGTTTGTATTTTCTACTTAATGAACCTCGGAATACACACAATAACAATAATAATTTGAATTGATTAATATCATTTAATATATTGAAAAACAAAGCTAGGTTACAGATGACGGAGAATTGGGACATCTGATAACTAACAGTATTAAAAAGATGTGTATGCCGCTCCTACCAGTAACTGTCTCAACAGCCTGTAGCTCTTTCGAGATTAGGAAACCTCTTATCGGGAATTCATTTAAGATGTTAAACTGATTGCATTGCCAAACAAGAGGCTGCTGATTTAAATTCATTTGGTATTTTATTTTTGAGGAGAGATTTTTATCGTGAAATAGAAAAGGAAGTTTATATATACACTCTTTTGCAAAAAACTCGAAGCACCAAGAAGCGAACTCGAAGCACCCTTTTGCGATCGTGACGAAATTTGGTATGCAAAAACATCATGATCGAACATGCAAATGATCAAAGTTTTAATGCAAATGAAAGGAATTGCGATCATAGCACGCATTTCTAGTGTGCAATTCGCAAAGTATAAAACCAGTTAACAGATGAGGAAAATTTATCTTGTTTTGTTACTCCTCTTGTAATTCCGTAAAGAACTTTAACTAAAGATGCCTTTACGACGATATCGGAGACCTTACAGACAACTAAACGACTTCGAACGCGGTAGCATTGTAGGGTTGCGCGAAACTTGGTGGTTTTACCAAGCAATAGGCCGCCATCTGCAGCGTGCAGACACTGCTGTGCAAAGATGTTGGCAGCAATGATTGCTAAAAGGAAATTGCCGACGAAATGAAGTCTTGCCGGTAGGTCAAAGAAGGAAATTGCCGGAAGGTCAAGGAGCACGAATGCGAGACAAGATAGGATGATTGTTCGTCAGGTCCGACCCACCCCAACGATAGATATCATTGTAGACTATTCAACGCACTACAGCCACGTTTATACCTCCCGTGGTACCATCCAGCATCTCACGGCGCTTGTCTGAGGCGGGGTAACGCTCACAGAGCCCTTTAAGACGTTTGCCTTTGACCCCCACAACATCGGCGGAGTCGTCTGGAGTGGTGTCTCAGCCGATCATCATGGCTGCCATCAGACTGACATCTTATAGTGTTCAGCGATGATCCCGCTTCACTCTTTGAAGCAGACGACCACCGTGTTCGTGTCTGGAGAGGACGGGACCAGCGGTCCCAGTTAGCCTTTGTTTTGAAAAGGCATACTGCCATGACCCCTGGTGGGATGGTGTGGGGCGCTGTTTCTTATGACAGCTGGTCATCTTTAGTCATCCTCCGTAGATCTTTAGCAGCTCAACGATGTGTTGAAACCATCCTGCGGTCGGTTGCATTACCTTTGGCACGTCAACCTGCGGCCATTTTTCAACAAGATAATGTCAGGCCACATACCGTTCGCATATCTCTGGATTGTCTCCGTGCGGTTAATATTCTTCCTTGGTCAGCAAAGTCACCAGACCTTTCACCAATCGAGCATGTCTGGGGCATGGTAGGCAGCCAGATACGGGCACCACAAAATATCGCAGATCTCCAGCGACAATTGATGAATGCCTGACAGAATGTGTTGCAGAATGACATTAGGAACCTCTATCTTGACGAATTGCCTCGACGAATTCAAGCACGCACTGCCGCCAGGGGCAGTTCGACCAACTATTAATTTGAACACTCAACGGGTGATTGTGAGCCGTGAACATTTACTATGACATTGACTTTTTAATCATTTTATTATCAGTGTTATGAACTATACACATTTTCAATTTCATTAAAAACGACCACTTCCTTCATGGTGCTTTGATTTTTTTTCAAAGATTGTATATATATATATATATAAGCGTGAGATACACGCACTCATAATACTCACTAAAATTAATCTCTAGTTAATTTTTTTGCAATTCGATTGCATGGCACTATGTACACTGGAAATAGCAGAGATAAAAGTTTTATATATTATATTATTATTACACTTTTTATGTTATTTTGCTACGTCGTTTCGCTTTTTATTCAATTTTTATTTATATTTATGCAATATTGTTTTTTAATTTACGCAAATAAATTTCCATTGGCGTGCACTTAGCTGGCTTAATCTTGGCCACTACTAAGGCCGGATGGCGACCTTATTTTATATATATAAAATGAAGATATAATATATAAATAAAAAAGGGGTCAACAGCTCATCATGAAATATATATACATCAAAAGTGCAATAAAAAGAAACAATCGTAAAATAAGATAGTAAAAATAATATAAATAATTATTAAAAATTCTTTCTCTTTTCAAGGCAAAGTCGAAGAATTTTCAATAGAGTCACGTTTCGAATTATATCTCGTGACGATAAATTATTGACATATTAAAAGAAAGTGCTAAATAAAATAAAATTAATTTAAGATTAAATTATTTAAATTAAAATTATTATTTAAAGTATAAAAGAAGTATAAACTGTATTTTTTTTAAATTTTAATAAATCATGAAGATATGATATGCTTAAAAATAAGAATTACGGGAATAAGAAACTAGAAAAACATTTGGATAAATTAAAATCAAAGTACTAAATGAATATTTAAATAATTTTGAACTCAAAAGCGAAACAAATTAAAGTTTTAAATCAAAAGCAACTGTTGAAAATCAAAATTAAATATATCTTAAAGTCAAAATTTTGAAGAAATTAATTAATTTTAGAAGGAAATTTACTTAAAATTAAGGAGCTTTAAGAATAATTTATCTAGAAAAGTTTTCAAATTGAGGAGGAAAAAAATACAGATAAATGGAATGCTTGGGGCCTAAAATGGAAAACATTAAAAAAGACAGTGTGTGTAAAAGTTGGAAAAAAAGTTAAAATCAATTGAAGCCGAATCAGTTAATTCAATTAAAAAAATAATTTGAATGGAATATGAAAATTAAAAATAAAACCTGAATAAAATAATTCAAATTCCTAATACATTATATTATATAGCATATACATTATATATATTATATATATGGATATGCTAAATTATATTCTATATATATCTATATCTATAGATATATATATGATAAAAATTTTATTATTTCTCGAAATTTAAGACTGAAGACTGGAAAACTAATTTTCATGAAATTAGTGCAATTATCTGTGAGAAATACGCGTAATTACGCTGTTAGGAAAGCTGATCCAAATTAAGCAAATTCGGAACAAGTTTATACCTCAATAAAGAGCTCATTTTAATGAACGTATACGTATTTTATTAAATCATTAATGAATAATGAGTTCGTTTATTTCATCATAAATTTGTTGCATCATAATTATTACCATGCTCTCCTTTATTATGCTATAAACGTGTTGCGAGTCCGGTTACTTTGAATTTGCGTGTAACATAACATTCAAAGTTAGTAGCAGAGTATTAATAAATGCCTATAGATTAATAGGATTTTGTATATACTACAGGATTTTTGTAATGCATTTTGAAATTACGTATCAAGTTTCTTATTGTTATTTTTTTTATTTTCTAGGTTGCATGATGCTGAAAGGTTAGAATTTGTTTCATGTTCTTACTTTTATTAACTTCAAACTGCAGTCCACAGAAAGTAATGAAAAGGAAAAGCGTTTCTTAAATTTCAGTATAATTTTTTTTCTTAAATTTTATAAATATTTTTTAATATCAATATAATTTGATTTTGCATAGGTTCAGATATAGTTTAATTGCCTATAAATGATTGATATGCGTACATAAAACACTAATTGCGAGTCTTGGTATGTTAACGTAGTGCATATGTAGCTTACATGATAATAAATAATTTAGAAGTTACTAAAAGGGGAAGAACATGTTAGGAAATCTGCAGTCAAACTTTCTAATTATTTTGGTAGAAGGAAAATTCATTCTGCAGCGCAAGAAATCACTTCTCTTAGAATAATCCTATGGATTCAAGTCCTGCAGGTCAAATTATTCACATGATTTCCTTTAAAGTCATTTAATGATGTCTTATATTCGGTGAATAAATAAATTCAAACTTATTTTCTTTTTAATTAACACTGTTTATATATAGGCTATAGATATTATGCTGTTTATAGTTACACTTAGGATACCGATGAGTCTAAAACTTGTCAGTAGCAGCTATTAAATGTAAAAGTCACTAAATACAAAGAAATTAAGTATCTAAAGAAGGGCAATATAGGATAAGATGACTTATAACTCTAGATCTAGACGAATTTTTAAGTTCAAGACATAATTCTACGAATTAAAGATAAAGTTATCAATAAATAAATAAATATATCCAAAAATGTGAGACAAAAAGTTTTAATTTAATTTCGGTTCCTTTATGTCATTTTCAATCAAAAAATTCTCTTACAGTTTACCTTCCGTTTTTATAACACACCATGCACAGGCTATATCTTTAAAATTTAACAATCAATAGTTGACAGTCTTTTAGGAAAAACCGCTAAAATAAGTGAAAACCCTCTTCTAACTGCAGCATACTTGTCTTTGACCCATTGGCGCCACTTTCACTAGAAAATTATATTATGCTTGTAGAAAAAAATGCCAAATTTTCCCTAATACCGTATAGGTTGATAGGATTAATAATTCAGAATTTAATAGAAACTAAAGTGAAAATGTTTGGAATCATTTCCATAACACCCTGTCTTTGAAGTTAAATTTTTGATTTCTAATGCGTGCTCTTCTATGATAAAAATTTAGTCTATGTGGTGCAAAAATGTAAATTACAGAGAGCTTTCTGTGAGCTTTTTTCCAAATGAATGAGACAGATTCTGCGTGTGGTTTTTTCTAAATATGTTTCAAATGATAAGAAAACTTCGTAAAATATCAGTGATTTAGAGACCACGAAAACGAGGAATTCCTTGAGACATTTGAAACATAAGAACAGGGTGATATATTCTCGCAATTCACGATATTTGATGGGCTAGAGATTTTGAATGAAGGAAACTTCATATAAGGACAGCATATAAGGATGTGTGTAAAAAACCAATAACAGCGATATACTTTTTAAATAATAAGTGGACAGTGTACTGGAAAAAAAGTAGTAGAAAATGAATAAAAAGAAACTGTAAAGGTGAGAAAACTGCTTGTTACAGACGAACTCTTTCATTACAGATTATTCGCTATGTTCACGGATTATATTAAGAATACAATGCATGAATCAGCAACAGAGAGAGAACAGCGACACGAATACATCAGCTACGTTATTCCATGCTTCTCTAGTGATAATTTTATTTTCTTCTTTTGATATAGAGGAATATGTTTTGCATAATTTGGATTTAAGGTAAATCTGAAGCAGAAGTTCATGGTGTTAAATCAGCGGAGCATAAAGATCATAAGAGCACAAAATTCACGAAATATGATGCCATTTGTGAAATGATTTTGTTTCGCATCTCATGACTGTATGTAATAGCCTACCATCCTGCAAATAATTAAGCGATGCAGTTCTGTAATCGCGTGCATGGACATTATTGATACATAGCTAAGCATATGTCAACTGATATTGCATATGCCAACTGATATTACATATGTCATTGCGACATTGTGACTTTGCATATGCCAACTAGTAGATATTACTTCTCGAAGCTCTATCACCCAAGATTAAACCAGCTGTCACTCTACTGCATACAATTCTTTCACAACGTGCATTGCTGGATGCTTACAAGTCATAAGAAATGTTCTATGACCAATTAACACAATTAATTATTAGTTAGCTGTCTAATCAAAATGAAATGTGTCAAGTCGATAAAAAAATTATAATGCCGAATATCTACCCTGTATGTATTACTTCAGGAATTTTTGAACATAGATCTACGAACTGGGAAGTTTCCGTGTTATAACAAGTTTTCCTGATGAAAGGGTTTATATAAAGGTTCTATTCCTATTAAAAATGTGTGCACCCTTTGGGAGTCGTTGTTTTGCTACCTTCTGTTATGCTTTAAGCTATCTTAGCTATGACTGAAGTATCTACTAAACTTCGGCAACATCGCCTTGCATGTGTATTCGTGCTATCTAACTTAACTTGTCAATCCAAACGCTCACAGCTTGTTTTGAACACAAACTCGACTACAAATTACGATCCACTAAAGTCTTAGTAATACTTTCTCTACATTGTAACTTTTCGGTTAAAAAATGTTAAAGAGTTCAATATTTACATTTGTGTAATTATTATTATTGTTTTCTTTGAAATGTATAAGCTATGCAGAAGATAGCAGAATACCCTCTATTTGGCTACTAGACAGATAATTTTACAGCTTAACTTTGCTTTCGCTTCATACAGAATTTTTTTTGCTATCATAAATGTAACCAAATTTTAGACGGATTGAGAGCCAGTTATCGGTGGTAAGTCCAAAATAGCAACTGATATTTTAAAAGGGTGTAAAAGGTCCTTTTACTAAAACTAAAGAAAACTAGAAATCACACCTGATGCTTACAAGTAAGCCATCACTTCGGCGAGATGTCTTAAATAACGATAAATTCAGATAAGCTCAAAGATTACACAATTTCAATTTAACGCGAAGTTTGCTCATAAACCTAACCGGCGTAGATATTCAAATATCTAGAATTGAAATTCAAGGTCAAATTCTTACCTGAGTTAGCAGCAACTTAGTAACATCTCCTCGAGAGGCAGAAGATACTCGGTTTCATAATCTAAAAACTTCAGCTTAAATACACGCGAGCTTATTCGCATTCTGGAGAGAAACCGGGAGGGATATATGACAGTAAAGATCCGAAGCATAAAGTAACTGGTTAGATTAACATATGGTAACGCGAGTAATAATCCACTTTGTTATTTAAAGAGCCATATAGTTGATGTTTTCCGTTGCACTTACTCCATTCTAATATGTTATGCTATTTCTAGTGAAGTAAAATTTAGTGCTATTGTAAAGACTTGGTGTTTACAAACGAAATTTTCTCGCTACAGTTCCTTTAACTGTCACAATAAAACTTGTTTCGGCTCTGTTGTTTTTGTATGCTGTCCGCATATTATCTAATACTATATTGCAAAATTTACAACAGATTAATCGCTCTCTGAGCTTCCGAGAGGCCGTTATTTTGTCAAATAATTTTATAGCCCTTCCCCCTCTATCTCTCTATGTCTATCTATCTATCTATCTATCTATCTCTTTATATATCTCTCTATATAGTATATATCCACAGAAAGTGAGAATAAGCAGTTAAATAAATAAAAAATCTTTCAGTAATGCTAATAAATTAGGCTATACAAATCGAAATACTTACACATGTTTCAAATTGCAAATAAAAAGAATGCCTGTACATATATATATACATATATATATATGCACACTTACTTACGCAATAGTGCAATAATTGTGCAGGATTTTATTCCTGCCTCAATTCGAGCAGAGAAAGTGATCATAGGCAGCTTACGTTCTCGAAGCTAATCGCTGAGATAAGTGAACTAACATAGCTTGTTCACAAGTCCCAGTTATTCCTAAGAGCTGCCAACCAGTGATGATACGTGCATATCGGCTACTCTTCATGGATATCGAAATCCTAGTTATGTACTTGAAATAAGATGTTGTGAGATACCATAAGCTTCGCTTGATGTGCTAGGATATAGCCTACTCCGGGGCGATGTTTTCAAGTGATAAACATTTCACGCCACTTATTCCTGCCGTGGAATATAAAGCTTGAACAAGTGTGATACCTAGTATTTAAGGAAAACTGCATCTTGCCGGGATTGCTCATCTCTAAATAAGAAATGAATCTTCGGATAATGCGGGATTCAATTTGTACTCCTGGGTTTAATTACTAATAATCAAGTTTCTCAGTCTGATACCAGAGCATATTGGAGTTAATTAATTACCTTATTGCTCCACGAAACTGCTAGTTTCAGAAAGTGTATTTTTATTCTCTTGTTTATCACTAGCCTTATTTTTAGGAATCTTTTTCCTTCCCTTTAAAATACTGTTAATATGGTCGTACCACTGGCATTAAGAAGTGTTGCGTAACGAAACACTGTACTGTACTTTATTACGAAACACTGTTTTTCCTAATAAAGATGCAAATTTCGTATCTTCAGTAAGCATGTTCAAAGAAATAGCATAATAAGTAATAATAAATTATGAGAAAATTTCGCTTTAGTCAAATGGCTTTTTTTTAAGACAGCGGTAAAGCTGAGCAAATTTGAAATTATAAAACAGGAAGGGTGAATAAAGAAAGATGAATCCTCCATCACTGTTTGAGCAAATCTTCTGGTTGTAAAAATGAACGCTACGTGGTTTCTTGTCCTTTCTACGTTTCGTTTGCAAGTGAAATTATCAACGAAGTATTTTGATTTCTAATTGTTAAATTTGAAAGGATGACTTGAGTACCATTTGATTCATACAAATATTTATTATAAGAAAAATATATTGTGCAAATATATTTTTCATTCATTATGTTCCATATAATATTTTGATTACTATTGTCTAGTGACCTTTAGTTCAAACTTGCGTGTTGTTCTAACTTTTATTATTGTTTAGCAAATGTTAAACAATAATAAATAATAATCTAGAATTTCAATTATTAGTAAATAGTGAAATACGTTCACGTGATATTAATTTTTTTCTTTGAGCAATGCGGCAACTATTTTGTTAATTTTGCCAAGGATATGTATAAAAAATATTGAAAGTTGTACAAAGAGATGAAATCGCAACTGTTAATCAGTAAAAAAAAAATCCAATCCTTTATAAAAATGTAACTCAGTTAGTAAGATAGAGAGTAGGAAACCGAATAAGTAAAAGGGAAAAATTATTGTTCTATCGTAAATTTCGATAGGCACATTCTAATATATTCATATCAAGAAATGTTTTGCATTAAGCTTTTATAAAGCCTTAATTTTGCATTGCTAACCAATATCTGGAAAACTTGTGTTGCTATGTATGCCTAATATTTTGTCACGTTAAAATAAAATCTTCTTATTTTAAAACTGTTATATTATTTGTTTTTACTATTTAATCAAGTCGACGCTTTTAAATTACAGTAATTTTAAATCGAGTTGAGTTTCTTTCAATAGAATTCTTTTAGCTTTTGAGAGCGAGCCCTAATATTAGAAATATGCATTGATTACTAATCGAAACTTTTTGATGACTCAGTAATAAATCAATAAAATAATTAAAATACAGATTTGCTATGTTAGTAATCAATATTATCCCGAAATTGACAGGCTTTTCTTTCATTCAAGATTATTTCTCGTATTTTCAATCTTCTGTTTTTAAGTATTTTAGGAGTTGATTGTCACCTATGCGTTTTTACCTATTTTCAGAGTTTTCTATTCAGAGTTCTATTTTATATGTACATTTTTGCGGATACGCATAATTTTGCCTACAAAAGAATGCGAATTATCCCGTATATGTATTCAAATATTCGACTATTAGACAGTACAGTTTTCCGGATTGCTTCTCTGTAAGGCAATAAAATTAAATTGCTGATAATTTATTTAGATGTTCTTTATATATTATGTTAAAATCCATTTATGATAAATAACTATACGAAAGATTATAAAATATAAAACGTACTTTTAAAACTCTATCATTATGAAGAAATGTCTCTGACGTCGCCGTTCACGTCGTTGACGGTTATTGTTCAGTTGACTAAGACTATACATAACGCTGTCCATCATCTGTAGTTTTATTTAGAACGAATATTTGAATATTTAAGCTTTTACTGTATACGCATAACTCCTTCCTTCAGACTACATTTTCTATCTGTTAAAATATTTAGTTCCATTTCTATTCCGATTTTCTATATAATTCTATAACAGTGGATTCTATTCGCATATATAACTATATTTTATTTTAGGTACTTTTGTATTTGCAAAATTGCATGCTTTTATGTTCACTTATGCTTACAGATAAAGCTTGAAATTTATTCAAGCCAATTGCCTGAGCATAAGAAGACAGTAACAAGAAAGTGTTGCGTTTTTAATTAGTATTGAACGTAAAAGTAAATTTCATAATTATAAATAAATCATATGGCAGTTATTACATTAAAAGAGTAAGATATATCCACATCGATTTGTCAATTGAAAAATCTTAGTGAAATTACTTCACATTTATAACCTTTATCAATTAATGGTATAAATGCTAAGTCCCTTTTTACATTATAAGATGTAACGAAAATATTCCGTTGATTCGCTGAAGCTCTAGATATTCACATTAAACAGTAGTTTAAAATTGATGAATATACTTACTGACACCTGCCTTTCATTTAATTGCATCTTAAGAAAAACATAGTGTTCAAACACTGAAAGCGTATTTTCAGAAATAAAATCGACGTCAATTATCATTCCTTTACTTCCTGCCTAGTGTTACTTGTTGCGTCATTTTTTCTCTCAGTCAACTTTTAGTCATTATTTTATTCATTTTATGACAATATTTAAAGCATGTATGTTATTATTTTTAATAACATACATGCTTTAAATATTTTGGTGCATTTAATAGTTTAAAGTATTTAATGCTTGTATATAATTTAAATATTTATTATATATGTGTACAAACACACACACACACATATATATATATATATATTTAAAATATTAAAATATTTTAGTATATTTAATACTCTTGCATCGTCAGTCTAATGTACTTTAAAATATTACATTTCCGTATAGAGAAAAGTCCGACCAAGAACCTAAGAAACCTATTCTTGTAACCGTTGTGGGGTCTGAAGATTCTCCACCTTCTAGAACGTCTTCAGCAGTGTAAGTTAAACTTATGTATTTTTTAATTGGAAACGTGTGCGTTAATTCTCTTATATCATTCTTTAACAAGTATACCATGCTAATATATAAAATATTTACAATTACTATACAGTATAAGCCATCTGTAACGATGCCAAAAAGAATTACAAGTATTAATAACCTCGTAAATTGTACAAGGCATTATTTGTTAACCTGGAGTTAAGCTTCTCTGAGAAGCGTGTTTGAAGCAATAGAGCTATTCTGTTTTGGTCTAAGCGTAAACTAAATCATCTTTAGACGAGGTTTTAAACTGAGTGTAATAACAAGCGTTTGGAAATTAACGATACAATTTCAATAACGTAAGAAAATATAACTTCTTCGTAAATAATTACAAATTAATATAAACCTATTTCTGGTTGTAGATCTGAATATAAAACAAATAACACCATATTTATAATAAATTTAATTAACAAAACTTTTGACAGGTTTAGAAGAATCTCATCAGTGTATTTGTCACTGATAAAAATACATAATCATGCATTTAATGATTCAAAAATTCCAAGATATTTCCTAGAGCTACTAAAATATCGGAATGCCGCCTACTGACTTAGAATTTAATTTTAACAACAAACATTCTAAGGATTTCTAATGAGCTGTTTTTTTTTTCTGACTGTACAATAGTTTTAATAGTTTCAAGTTTCTATTGGATTTTCTTAAACAAGTCTTCTTTCTCAAATGAAAAGGGCATGTTTAATCTAAATTTGAAACTGCAAATTTAAACTAAGACGAGCTGTACAACATTACAGTATAAAGCTCAAAGTAATACAAACTTTGAAAGTTTAAAAGACTTATTTAGCAGCAGCGCCATTCATTTGAAATTAGACTATCTTTTGAAGTAGTCAAATATCAAGTACAAGCAAGCCCATTTAAGTGCAAATTTCAAAATATTGCACTTAAATGGGTTTAGGTAAGAGTATTAATTTTAATTCCCAACACAGAAATATTCTTATTCTGTAATGAAAAATAAAATTAAACTAGCCTTCCTAAATTCAAAATAAACGATGCAATTAAAATAAAGGGAAAATCAGAAGCACTGATTTTGCATGGAGTATAACGTAAAACTACCCATTGATTCATGATTGTAATGTTTTTATACAGAAAGATTTATCCACCTCCTTAAAAGAGTTTCAAAAATTTATAGTGGAGTAACTATAATAAACACAATAAAATTTGCTTACTAATATGCAAAGAAGTTCCCTCTCCCATAATTTTTATGTACATATCTATAATTGTCGACAGGTGTAGAAAAAAACCTAAGGACAACTGCCAAATTCTTCCTTTTGTACCGCACAAGCAGACCAGATTCTTTAAATGTCTTATCCATAAACAAAGGGTCCTCGTATAGACCTTCTGTTTAGCATTTCATACGAAATCTGTACAACTATTATCCTTAGTAAAGTCCAGGTTTACTAATTCTAATATCCATTTCCGATACCTGGGAAGAATATCAAACAGGAAAAAAATATCTTGAACTCTTATAAAACGATCTCAGACACTAGAGCTTATAAATCTATCTACATTTCTGCGTCTTAATTTTATTCCTTATCAGATTGTAATGGTCTTTATTTTAAAGTGAGAATAATTTCTATTATTCATGGCTCTGGTTTTGTATAAACATATTTCGTAAATCATGATGTAATATACATCCTATCCCGAAAAGTCTTTACGCGGCGCATATTTTCACTACTCCATACTCGGGGTGTCCTATAATTCTGTAAATATTTTTAAAAATCCATAAAACGTTTGCAAAATCGTTTTTCTCGCGGGTTTTTTTTTTTTTTTTTTTTTTTTTTTTTTGTGTGTGTGTGAAGGAAAGATAAATAGTTATAATTTTCATTGACAGAGTGCACCGCACAGACGTAATAACAAGAAATATGCAAATCAGAGTCCTACAAATAACAGGTTTTACGATTAACAGTTCATTTCGATTTTTCCTCCTACTTGCTCGTACAAAACGTTTTAATTAGAATGCTGACATTAGTGGATAAAGCGTTATTAGTGAAGTTCTTTTATCTCAGCCAAGCCTTTTATCTCAACCGGCGACTGAACCGGGCACAGAAAGGATATAAGAAAGATTCAGGTCTAATCACTCTTACCGGACTGACTTACCTGGCACGACATTTTGAAAAAACAGTAAGATTTTGCCATCGCCTTCATGGTGATGAACCGTATTTCCAATGGTATTCCGAACCGTATTTCAGACGTTCGTATTTCCTATGTGGCTTCGCAGATTCACACTCTAAGAGAGAAATCAATGAATGCAGTAAGTAGCGCATGAGAAGTGGCACATAACACTGGTATACCGAAGATATTGGTATTCCGCTCCTTTCCAGTATTTTAAGATTGTACCCCTACAAATTGCAATCAGTCCACCCACCAGCTGTTATCAAATGACAAAACTAAGCGATATGAATTCGCAGATTGCGCTTTGTTGAAAATCGATGACGGTCCACAAGGGATTCTTAATATTTTGTGGACATATGAGGCTCATTTTTGGTGGGATTGAGTAGTCAGTACTCATAACTGTAGAATCTGGCAAAGGAGAACTCACCTGCCTATACTCAGGAGCCTCTACATTCACCGCATTTAACTGTTTTGTGTGGTTTGTTTTTTGAAAACCTGCTCAATTACTGGAAAATGTTACTTGCAACTTCTGCAAGAGAAAATTACGCCGCATATACTGGAACGTAATGTCCTTGACACAGCCAAGTAATACATGACACCTCTTCACACCACAACCGAAGTGAAGATGTTCGTAGGAAGGCTTTTCACCGAAGAGCGATTAATTAGCTGTCCCTTTAGAATTGTATGACTCCCTTGCTCGCCGGACTTAACATGACTTGTTTTTTAGCTTCGGGGTATGTCAAGTCCAAAGTCTACCGCAATAGCCCTTCTCCTTTGATGCAGTTAAAGGACGCCATTCGTCATGAAAATAGCTTGCATCCATTCGGATATGTTACATGTAGTTAACGGTGTTCTAACTCGCTTGGTAACTATAACTGATGGTGATGGTGGACACATAGAATAACAGCGATGAGCTCCTAAATATTTGCCTCCATGACAAATATAGTTTTACTTAAAATGAGTGATTTGTTCACTTATTGTACTTTATCGATTCACGTAGTGCACTTCACGTTCTGTTCACGTAGTGCACTTTATCGATTTTGTTTTCTTTACCAAAATCCCTCTTCAGGAGAACAACATTTTCGCAAACTGCATTCAATTTTACCAATTCCTTCAATTTTTATGAATTTTTAAAATATTTAGAGACTTATGGGACATTCTAAACTTCCAAACATAAAAATACTGCAAATAACGCCAAGATTCATATATTTTTAATTTTAAGTTAAAAACATTATTTGAATAAAATACGAAACCTAACGTTATACATGATCTTCCGGTCCCTATACATAATGTTTAGGGAAATTTTATATTCTTTATAAAAAATAAAACACAAAATGTTGACTACTATACGAAACAAATTGACGGAGTTTTTTGATATTGAAATAGGGAATCATATTCAAAAACCGTGCATAAATTGAAGAGGGAAATGTTTGCACTTGTACGTAAATAAAAATAAAATATAGTTTGGAGACGGTTTCTGATATTGGGAGGTTATGTGAAGAACATTTTTAGGCAGATTATTGGGAAACATATTAATCAATATCATTTTTTAATGGAAATCTTATTCATAGAATCTTAAAGAATCCATGTGTTGAAAACGCTGACAGGGTTAGTTTGACCCGAGTCAAGTTGTAACATTTTTTTTAGCAGTGGAAAATAAAAACTATTTGTGCGTTAATGAATTTCTTACGATTTCCAGATTATGAGCCTAGAGTAATAAAATTTCATGATAATATTAAAAACGTATTTTTAGAAAACTTATAAATTACTTAACTAAAATTTCTCTCGGAATACCAAATGTAACAAAATTATAAAAGACGACATTATTAAATGGAAAAAGGATGTTATTAAATGGCATTTAAGGGAAAAAACGTCACCTCGAATTATTCTAAATTAATTTATTAATAGACTAATGAAATCAAATTGAGAATGAGGTCAAATATTTCAAATTTTGAAATTAAATGTCTGCGTCACTATTTTGTCATACAGCAGTTAAACGTTTTTCTATTTTATTTGGAACCTGAGGAACATATAAAATGATGATTTCGTATTTTACATAAAACATTTTTTTTTCAAATTTAAGAATACAAAAACTTGAATATTTGCTTCGTTTAAAACATTTTTATAGCTGAAAGTATATGTCTACAACGTAAAAATGTTTAAGATTGCGAAAATAAGGGCTGAATAAGTAGTGTTGTAGACACTATGTATGTTCCATATTTAAACTTATATTGATTAAATGGCAGAGATAACAGGAGTTTCCTTTTACACAGAGTTATTCCTGTAATAACACAGTTATGAGTATTTTTAGAAACATTAGCAAAGTGTGAAAGACATATCTTTATTATATATGCTGCGCGAAAGTGATTTACTCGCTTGGGTTTGTTTATTTCCCATTTACAGCTGGTACAATAGTAAGAAATGTTGTAAAGACCTTATTTTATTCTAACCAATTATTTTTTAATTTCAGAAACTCCTTTCCCTTCTGATTTCAGTTTCCTTCAAAAATTGAAATTTTAATGACGTAGTATGCAAATCTAAGTGAGTTTGGAATCCGTATTTAATCAGCGGTTTTAAGAGCTTGTAGTAGTAGAGTTAATTCCGAATTTACGCCGCTTGTTTGAAGTAGCTTTGTATATGAATAGCTGGTGCTTAGCTGCTCTCTTTAGATCATATTAATATTCTGGATTTGGTGCTGTGTGCAGCCGATTTAGCGCTTTAGATAAAGAAGAAGCCAGCTGTGTAGCCCATCTTATTTTAGCGATTTTACATCTTAATTTTTTGTTAAGTTACTTAGCCACAAGTAGTGGTAGATTGTGAGCACCGTGCGTGTGCATTTTTTGTTAAGTTCAAATAAACAGGCTATTTAAACCTTCTTCTGCAGTCATCTGTTCTTTGAAGACCTAGCAAGAATTCGCTGCTTAGTCTTTACAGCTAGGTTCTACAGTGTATTCTAACCAATCTAATTAATTTATTAACCGACTGTCTATGAAATTCCAAAACATACTAGAAGAATCTACAATGTGATTAAATTATCTAGTATAGTTGAAATTCACATAAAATGCCTTAACTGGTATTTCAGTAATAAAAATGTAAATACCACAACTAATATAATAGTGTTACAGAAACTAAATCTGAGCTATAAGAATCGGATTAATGTGACTGACTTTCTAGGACTATAGTTTCGAAAGTTAAACAGAATGCTGTTCTTAAGTTCTTAAGCTTCGAGCTTCAGTCTTCCACTTCTTCTTTCTTCATAATTCGTGTTGCTCATTATCAATTTTTTTAACACTGGAATGCTATTTTTTACAATTGATAGTTAATATGGTTGTGGTTAAAAATACCTAAAACGTTTCATTGAAATTTATGTGTAAAATAGTAATAATTTCATTGTAGGTCTCAATCAAGTTACGAGGACATGGTTAGTGATACAACTCAAAGTATTATGTCATTCAATCCACTTAGGTACGTATAATTTTTTTTAAATTTAACTGATATTATTTTCTAATTTCATTGCCATTGCACTGGTATATAATCAGTTAAAACTAAGTTTTCTGTACAATTACAGTTATTTATCTGAATAATTTAATTTAGGAGTTATTTTAAATTCTACACAGTTATGCAATTTAAAAAATATATAAACTTTTAGATAATCAAATTATTAATATCTTCCCTAAAGTTATATGGTACATTTAGGTAAATCTGGCTTTAAATTTATAAATTTATATCCCTAATGTGTGCTATAAAAATTAAATGTCTCCTTTCGATGTTTTTGAATTAGTTAAGAAATTTTACTTTTTTGTGAGTTTATTAACTAGTTTAGGTGACTTCAAGCATAAATTAAAAATAATGAAATTTTAAGTCCAGACTTATTTATCACAAGTCTATACTATCAGTATTTCTATTCTTTCTTCGAAAAAACTAAATTTTAGATAATTTAATTTTGGACCAACGTCACATATGAGGGATAAAATTCAAAGCCAAGGTATGCTATGAACGAGACCAGCATCTGAAGCCTTATCACGAAAGTGGTTTTAGGCAACTCCGTTTATTACATTTATTTATAACTTTTTTGATTTATTTATAAATTATAAAAGATGAAATCTATTGCAACCTAGATTGTATTAAGGTAAATATGAGCACAGATTTCAGCATAAAGAAGAGTATTCTTTGCAGAATTTATTTAAAACAAATACCTTCTTCTTCTTCATCTTCAATGGCCAGACAGGCCAGGATGGGCCCTTGCCTTCATCAGAATCGAATTCCAAGCTCTTCTATCCCTGGCCATGGACATTCAATTGGTTATTTTTTAAATTCTTAAGTCTGTTTCCAAACAGTCGAGCCACCTAAATTTAGGTCTCCCTCTTTTTCGGGTGCCGAATGGTCTGGCCGAGAAGATCTTTTTAGTTACTCGAATTTCATCCATTCTGCACAGGTGTCCTGCCCATTTAATTCTATGAATCCTTATATATTTTACTATATATGTTTCTTTAAAGGATTTACAGAGTTCAGAGTTCCAGATATTGTTACATTTTATGCCACCTCTTTCAAAGACATAAATGATACTTTTAGCTTTTTCTGTCATTGCCCAGGTCTCAGAAGAGTATGTGAGAATGAGTCTGATTAAGCTTTTGCAAATTAAAATCTTCGTTTTTCTGCTAGTGAAGTTAGATATCAAGCATTTCTTCAGACTGAAAAAAATATCGGTTAGCGTCTGTGACTCTACTACGGATCTTGAGCAATAAATCATTGAGAGAACTTCTGATCCTAAAATTTAAATTTACTAACAGTTTCAAATTTGTAATTCCCAATTTCAAAATAGGGGCTGCTGTTATTACCACATGGCATGTATTTAGCTTTATTTTGGTTGATTGCTAGATGCATTTTGCTGGCTGCAGCCTCTAGAGATGTAAAAGCCTCTGTAAGTGACTCGGGAGTGCGTGAGACTATGTCAATATCATCAGCAAACGCAAAAAATATGAACAGACTTGTTAAAGATAGTTCCACGAGTATTAATGTTGTAGTCTTTTATCATATTTGGAGGGCAAGGTTTAAAAGCAAGCAGGGCAGTGCATCGCCGTGTTTGAGCAAATTTAAAACAACAATAGGTTCAAAAAGATTATTCTGGATTTTAACTCTAAGTTTTGTTTCAGAAAGAGTAATGGTGACCAAATCTATAAATTTTTCAGATATTGCAAATTCTCTCATAGCTTCAATTAAATATTTTATGTTTACTGAATCGTAGGCAGTCTTAAAATCAACAAAAAGGTGGTGCGTTGCAATGCCATATTCATTAGCTTTTTTCCAAAATTTGCCTAATGTTTAAAGATTTGTTCTGCTGTAGATCTTCCTTTGCAGAAACCACATTGGTTATCACCTACAATATTTTCTGTATAAATTACTAGTCTACTAAAAAGTGTATTGGAAAATAAATACAAGTATACATAATTAAATTTGGAATCTGTTCACATGAAGTGATGATGTAGTTGTTAAAAAGCTCTAGTGCTTGCGTTGGGGTTTATTTTTTATGAAAATGCTACGATTTGACTCCATAGCTACAGTACACGCCCCCAGGGATTACAGATACTGAGTAATATACTCTGACAAACCCGAATCTGGGGGCAAGAAATACACATATCCGGTTCCTACTGCCCAAAGTCATCAAAATGGCTAGTGGTTGGCCATACTGCGGTTTATCAAACAGTCGTCTACTCCTCCCGAGGATCTCCGTGTCCCCGGAATTTGTGACTCTGAGAAGCCGGTTTAGCGTTGGATGAAAAAGGAGAATTAAAATTTCAACACTGTATCTTTCCTGAAGGGGTCTGCCATGGGTTTTGAGAGAAGTGAGATGCTTATTACCCTTCTTGGAGAATTTTGACTACCTACAACCTACTTAATATGGGAGGTGAGGGTCAATCCTTGTAATGCCTTTTAGTATGGCGGAACAGTAATAAACTGAATTTAGCTACAGTATACGTTTCAGTAAACTCAGCTACTATACATATACATAGTAGCTATATATGTATAAGTTTGACATATGTGCATTTTATGAAATGTTTCAAATAAAAAATTTCCTCTACTGCATGAGATGCAGTCAAAGATCACTATGTATTATTTTCGTATGATCAGGAAATTAGACAGGAGAAAGCGGATGTAGATGCAAATACATTTGTACTGTCACCATTTTTCTAAAACTTCTGTAAACTTAGATTTAGTTCTCCATAACAGGTGTTTTCATTAATTTTTAGCAGTATTATAATGCAATTTACTAATATGGGTTTTTCATTGTGTATCCGTCAATCCTTCACAGAAGGTGAAACGGATTTCTAATTATCTTATAGAAAATTATCAGATTTTTCTGTGAGAAACAGTTGGTTTGTTTAGTACAAACAAATAGTTTATGAGAAAAAATTTCACGGTACACAAAGAAACATTTCACTGTACACAGAGGAAAATTTCACTATACTCTGCTTTTACGATCTTCACTTGAATATACGAATTAACCCACACTTCTCTTTCTTATAAACACCGTTTAAATTTTCAGATGCATTTTATATAGTATTTTTCGTGATATTGGAAAATAGTCATATGATTGTTTTACTCGTAAAATACATAATTAACTTTGAAAAACATTTGATTGTTATAAATTATCCTTGATTTCTGAAATAATTTCTCGCATAAATCCATCGAAAAAAGGTTAACGACAGAGACTTCGGTAGCTGTAAAATCTATGTAAACGTTAATAGTAATATTATCTCAATGAATCACTCCTTACATCACATTTCTCTGAAAAACATAACTCAGGGAAAACTTCAAAATATTAATTATCATAGAAGTAATTATCACTGTAATTAATATTTTTTGCATAACTCACAAAACTTGAAAAACTCCTTCTGCAATACTTACCAATAAAAAAGTGGATTACAAAAAGTCATATATATGTAATAAGATGACTTGGAGTAATCTGCAACAGATTGTCGATGGTTCTCTGCCTTATATCTTGGGGAGAAAAAGACGTAGTAGCAAGCAGCCGAGGCAGATTAAATTCCATTTTCATTTAAATTGACATTTCGGCCATTATTACCATGGACCTCTAATCGTGTCTATTTCCAGAACATTTACATTTTTTATAATGACTGTTACGATAGGAAGAGAGCACAGCAAAACAGCGTCCAAAGGTAGAAATTAAGTGCGCCTTTATCCAATATGGAAGAGAAGGTTCTGATTTAAGTTAGACAGATTTTAGTTCTCAAAATTTGAGTTCAAGTTACGAATTGGCTACGTCATCAGCATTACGCAAGCCTTGTGACGTTGATTAATATAAAGATGGAGCAATTCAGAAACGCTATTACTGATTTTAGAATACAGAAAGGAAATACTCATATTAAAAATGATGAATTACGAGCCTATTATTAAACTCAATTATAAAGCTGTTTTACATATTTTTTAATCTTATATATATATATATATATATATTCTATTCTTATTTTGGTAGCTTAAGTATATCAAAATGCATTGTGAACAGCGTTCCTATATTTAAAGTTTATAATTTTACAATATTACAAACACTTTATTCTTTTTAGGGTGATGGAAGATCCTTTGAGGTAAGTCAATATCCCTATTTATTTTATTACAGCTGTAGAAAAGTTATAGACTCATATCGGTCTCATGTGTGTTTAATATTTTCTTTTAAATTCAAAAATAAACATTCTTTCCTGGAATGGGAAAGTTTCCGTAGTTTTTAAATGTTTTCTAATAAAATATTTACTTACGCAATTCTCATAAAAATGATTTTTTATTTTTTTAATTAAATGTCACTCTTTTCGTAAATTTCTATAAACAAATGGATCTATAGAAAAAAAGACAGTTTTGTGATAGATAAAAATTCCTCTAAATGATATAGCTTCAGTAAAATAAACTACTGCTGTCTAGATTTAAAATAAATGATTATCTTATTAAATGATTATTAAAGCAAAATATTTTATTCTTATTTTGTACCGAGTGTTACACATGGTTTCGAAATTAAAAATTTGATGATCAACGAAAGGAAAAAGCGTTATGTCAAATATTCATTATTTACATAACGAGAATAAAGGAAATTATGAGATGAATTT